GTCATAGGAGGTGCTTTGACGTTATATCGTAATAATACTTGTGCACCGATAGCTTGCATAAGCATTATTTGCACTGCATTATATCTTTTCGGCCTATTTTTTTGTAATTTGATCTGTTATTTGCAGCACCGCGTTTGGGTTATACAGAGGCGAAGTAACAAATGTTACGCAAACTTGATTATCCCGAGCATATTTTAGCACGATCGATAACACAAAGGCTGCCTTCCGCGCGTGTGTTGTGTAACGGTAGATTCGTTACATCGCAATGAATTGCTACTCGGAAATGTTTCTTGGTCTTCAGTTTTACCCTGAAAGCTAATTTAGTTGATTTTAATTGATTATTGGTAGCTTGAGAAAAAGCGTTTTTCTCATGAAATGTAGGTACATATTCTTTTTCCACTGAAAAATCTGACGTCACTAATTAAAACTTCTAACTCGTTATCTTTGATATTTTGACATATTCTACGAATCATTAGCGTCGTTTGATATTTATCGAGTAATATTTTTAACATTTTCCAAGTTGAGAATATTTTGTTTTATTCGAGTTCTGAAATTATTATGTTGAATACCGGATTCTGATACCTTCTCCAGATACACACCTCGATATGCTGGCGAAACTCGTCAGACAAGTCTGCGTTGCTCACAGAGAAGAGTACTAATTGTGAAAAAAAGAACAGATTAGAAGATTCGTTCACGAACCGCAAAAAGCGATAAATGAATCGTCAAGAAAAAATGCAAAATTTTTAAGTACCGTTTATTAATGAAATATTCATTGCATTATTATGTAGATGTTTTATTTAAATTTAGCATATCAGAACATTTGTGTGTGTATGACAAGCAACACAATATGAATTTATAATAAATAGATAGTAACACAAATAAGAAGAGAAAGAGAGAAACACATTTTCTTTATATTTATTTTATTATATTTTATTATTTGGTTTTTTTATATCAAAATAATCATTCCAATTTTTGATGTTTATAATTTAGATTTCAGAAAATTGCGCAAAAAATAAGAAAAGGGAGCCGACTGTTTCACCGGCTATCCCACGGATGTAAAAGCGTAACTTTACTTTAGAGAAGCGGAGCGACATTGTGACAACATAATACCCACGTCACGGTACAGTCGCATTAAAGCGTTTACCGTAAACTATCGTAACAATCGTCGCTTTAACATTGTAATGTCGGTAATATTCCTCTTTCCGGTTCTTTCGATCCCTTTATTTCCCTTAAAATGATTGGCCTTCGCAAGTCTTCGGAACCTTCCCACTTAATAGACATATGGCTGTCCGACCTTTTTCTGGCATTTTAGGTTGAAATAAAAAAAGTAACTGGGATTAAGGTTACCGTAACAAACGCAGTATCGTACCTATGTAGATCAGAAACTTATCTATTAATATAATCTAGAATTGTATATAAAGGATAAAATGTGTTTTACGCTATTCGGAGCTTTAATCATATTTTGGATTTTTTATTAATTAAAATCGTATATACGATCTGAGTTATTTAGAATTAAATTATATATTTTTTTGGTAGCATAATCAATATTAGTACACATTTTATTTAAATTCTAAATTAATCAATAAACTTGAAATTGATCGAAGGTATGCATGAATCTTATAATTAGATTACGTTGTATATTAGATTACACTGTACAAAATTCACAGAGTGCATTGTGGTCAATATCGAGGTGCACGTAAAGTGTTAAAAGTCTCTTCGAGACCGTTCGAGTTAGATGCGAGTCAATTATCCATCGTCGTGCAACGTCGCCGTTGTGCAAAAAAAGCGCCTTGCACATCCGCGAAGTTTTTCGCTTTGTAACGTATACCTGTTGCTATTTTCGGACTTTTATCCTGGACCTACCGCAACACCTACCCACCTTTACCCGTCAAACAGGGCGTGACGTTCGCACCGGTAGCGGAAGTTTAAATCTCGTGGGCGTCCGAAGGGACGTGAAGAGACTATCCGGATCACCATGGTGACCATGATTTTACCCTGTGACGCATCACGAAAGAGGAGCACGTGGCGTAAGCGACGCCTACGCGAGCTTTCCGGGTTAGCAATTTTTCAATATTGCGTCATCGCCGCGCAAACGATACCCGCGCATGTATATATCTCGATAGCGTCATCAAGTTGCTCCGACGTTTCCGATGTGACGTCACTTGCCACGCATCACGTGGCGGTTCGATATCAGCTTCCTAAGTGGCTTATGTCGGAACGACGCGGTATAAACTTGCGATGTAAATTTCGTGTGTGTGACTTTCTCCACGGGTGCATACAATATGGTACAAATATTAGATTTCCAGATTGATAGCAAATCTTTTACTTTTCGGTGAAAATTGACTTATATATCTTTAAAAATAACTTAAAAAAATGTTATTAGATCTTAACGTTGCTTGACATCTGAGAAGAGTATTTTCTCATAAGATGCAATTATAATAAAATTAGCAAAATTTGACTGCAATCAAAAAAAGAGACAAAAATAAGGCTCTATAAACTGTAAGTTTCATGCCCATTTTGTAAACATTCTTATTTTCACGTTTTCTTCTATTGTTTCCTATAAAATTACAATGAATTATTTTCATCTTAATATCAAAAGTTCTTTTCTTGATGGATTATCGAGAGATAAATTATTGGGAAAAATTAACTTCAGATTTAACGCAAGTAATCGTCGCTATCAATGTAATCAGTAATGATTCACTATGTTCATCACCATCGTATTAACGAAATTATCATGTGTGTAACAATAACGGATTAGCAACATAATTTTTCGATGATTTTTTTGATTGACGTCATCGTGGACGAGCGAGCAGCTCGCAAATGAGTGGCAGCACGTGCCACGCGGCAACAGTCTGGCAGCGCGAAGCGTTTTACGACGTATCACAGCATTTTATGACGCTGAACAGCCTGTGCGAGTCGTCCGCTTCCAAAATCAGTCGCCGACTAGAAATTTTATGAGAAATATATTCTGGAAAATATAAGTTAGTATCGTATAGTATTGGTATAGGAGCGCTGCTGGCACCGAATCGATCTGGTTCTGCTTTTTTATTAAATCCATACATATTTATACGAGTTGTTATACGGAGTATCGCTCAATAATTTTTACAAATTTTATCAATAGATGTTTCGATTAATTTGGAATCCGGTGTAGTGAATATTTCGTTGAATGTATTCTGATACTTCTTTAATTTTCTATATTAAATATCTTCGTAACTAATATAAGTCTCATATGTGTATATATGAGAACGCTTGAGGTGAAATAAAGTCCATTTAAAATAGGAAGAGTTTATCGTTTCGATTCTATAGATAAAAGTAGATAAACTTCAGTGAGTTCCATCACGTTTTTTTGCTTGTTTATGCCTATGTTTGTGGAAAGCTGATAAATATTTTCGTAACGGCTAAGAACAAGCCTTTTAATTCTTATCACTTTTAGGTGTAGATAAGATAAAATTTTCTTTTATGAATATATTCATATGTGTGATCTTAAGAGAAGCGTAGCACAAGAGAGCAGGAAACATGGGTTTTCACTTAATTTGATTGAAGTAATATATAATTTCTAATGTAGATTAATTGTAAGCTGTAGAATTAATATTGATTTACTATAAATTGTTTTTTTTTTTACTTTTTTTACTTGTTTTTACTATAGATTGAAGTAGATATTTTTAAATATAAAGTAATTTTTTAATATTTATTTAGATTAATATAACTTAGAATATTTACTATTTTCAAATATTTTTTTTGTAATTAATTCTTGAAGCCTAAAGAATTTTATTTCGTATTGCAAAATCCGATTCGATTTATGCACGATTATATCGCCACAACAATGCGTTTTGTGAACGTAGCTAGGTCATCAATGGAGGTCAAATATGATATTGGAGAGAAACGAACGTGATGGGCAAAGCAGGGCTTTGCTTTTCCTACATGTTTTTCTGTATATTATTTTGGTTGAATGAATGATTCCTGCGAAGCTCCGCGTTTGCGTAATCTCTCGATTTCATGACATATCACAGCGATATCACGAGTTAACGAGTTCTTGAAAAGTATGATTGTGTCAGTAAATACTTACAGGCGCATTATGCGAACCAGTTGTACTCAGAAATCGGAGTACATTCCAACGACATCTAACGAATACTCTCAATACTTAAATGAAACGATACGAAAGGCAATGTATCCATTCAATACTAGCCATTGATTCCCATACTTTGCTTTTCATAGCAGATTTTAATTTGCGAATATTGGTATAGCAATGCGATGGATGCATGCTTGTTATATGTTTCATCTATATTTGTTTACTGAAAATATATCACACGCGTGCAGTCGGGAATACTGCAAATATACACAATGACAAGTTTTTATTCTATCACACACGTGCTCATAATTAATCGACTTTTTTTCACGATTGTCTCCGTATCCGTGAAAGTGAGTGTATTTCTTTAAAAATGATAATGAAGTTGGCGGGTAAATAGCAGTGGACACGAGGCAGTTGGTAAGTAGTTGAATATATTTGTAATATAATAATAATTATACATTTTATTTAGAAAATGTAACGATTGAGTGATCGGTGTTTGAAAAACGAAATTTTTAGTAGATCTAAAAATACATAATAGACAACTGTTATTAAATTATTCGTGTTTTTCAAACGTAATAAATTATTCGCATTATTCAACTCAAAAGAGTTGAACTTAGTGCTTTGTCTATATATGAAAAAGAAAAGTTTACGTATTTATTACTTGGCTAACTGTGATTTAAATTTCATATATTGATTTTGATTAAATTATTAAATTTTTCTTTGAATAGAAAAGTGTATTAATTAAAAAATATATTATTATTTTTACAGCACAATATTTATATATATCAGAAACGTAATATTGTTTTATTTTAGAATATTTGTTAAAATCTATTTAAAATTTTTTTATTATTGACTGCAAACTTTGCCATTACATTGTATGATGGCACCACTCGCTGCTTTAGAACTCTCTTGGCGGGGTAAACACCAAACAGCTGCAAACAGCTGACGGCCAAGTAGTACATGCATAACCTCTGTTTAGGACATGTTTCGTTTTTGAGCGAAAAATTCAGATTATTTGCAAAGGTGTTTTTTAGTGATAAAAATTAAAACATGTTTCGTTTTGGAGCAAGATATTCTTTTCAGATTGCCAGAAATTTCAGCACGAAGCTAAACGAAATTGGCAACCTCGTTAAAGTAAGTGATAACTGATATTGGCACATGTATTTTCTAGTTATACAAAAATTTTCTGGCTTTAAATGTACGATGTTTCATACAAGAACGTTAAACGTAAGTTAAACGTAATACAGCAATCACAGCAAGTACGATTTTTATATAAAAATTTTCATAATTTAAGTATTGTAACAAACAAAATATAAGCTATTGCCAGAACTTTTTTATTTTGGTTAATACATACATTATGTTCAGTATTATATATGATAAATAATATTGTATACATAAATTATTTTTTCTTTTTCAGCAAAATAAAGTAGTTGTCTTTATGAAAGGTGTACCAGAGGAGCCACGATGTGGATTTAGCAATGCTGTAGTTCAGATATTAAGAATGCATGGTGTTACTTATGATGCTCATGATGTTCTTCAAGACGAGGGGCTCAGACAAGGTAAAATGCTTATTAATATTTATTATACATTATTTATTATAGAATCATACATTAATTTATTATAGAATTTTACATCTGTATAATAATAGTATTCTAAAATACAAGAAGCATATTTTATATATATGTATGTTTAATAATGTTACAAATTTTTAATACTAATTATTTAGGTATAAAAGATTTTTCTAATTGGCCCACGATACCTCAAGTATTTATAAATGGTGACTTTGTCGGTGGGTGTGACATACTCTTAGAAATGCATAAGAACGGTGAGCTCGTTGAGGAATTGAAGAAAGCAGGAATTACAAGCGCTCTTTTGGAAACAGAAGGATCCTTACAAGATAGTCCCAACAAATCCAAAGAATAATCTGTTATTAATTAACTATGTTGTATCGATAGTCACGTTTTGTTATAATAAATTTTTTTGTTGGTATTAATTGTTATGTTGATAAAATTGATATTTATTAAATATTTACTTTTATAAACCTCATTATCAATATGAATATGGAATTCCACATTCGGAGAAGTATATTACAATTTTTTAAGCTCTTTTCGAAGAATTTTTCCGGACGGATTTTTCGGAATACTTTCCAGAATTTGTACATATCCTAAATGTTTGATTTTGGATACTCGTTCGGCGACAAATTTTTTTATTTCATCCTCATTGACTTTCTGCCCTGGCTTAGGAACAACAAAAGCTTTCGGAATTTCACCATATTTGTCGTGAGGTACACCAATAACCGCTACGTCCAATATCTTATCGCAACCGCGAATCACTTCTTCCAACTCGGTGGGTATAACTTGAAATCCTTTCACCTTTATCATTTCTTTTAATCGCCCAGTTACATACAGAAGGCCTGCATTTCATAATATTTTTTTTCACATCTCAAAATAATTGTATTATTCTTCAAAAATTGTTTGACTAAATTTATTATCTTACCATTTTCTGTGAAATATCCCAAATCGCCACTCTTGTACCAATCTCCATCCATGGTCTCCGTTGTGGCTTTTGGATTATTATAATATCCTTTCATTACTTGCGGACCTCGTATGCATATTTCGCCTATTTCTTTGGGACCTAAATTCTTGTTAAGATTAGTGTCTTCCGTACCCACGATTTTCAATTGAGTATTTGGAAGCAAATGACCGCATGATAATGAAGTTACATTCGTAGTACCATGTGTGCAGAGCGGGGATAGCTCTGTTGCTCCGTATCTATAACACAAGTTGCAAAAAAAAGTTAATTCGTTATCAGAATGTCTCACCAAAAGTGGCCACCCTCTTTTATCTTTGTCTTTTAATTTAAAAGACAAAGACATAGATAACAAATATATATCAAATTAAATGGTTTAAACTGAACTCTATTGTGGGCATAATAGTTGCTTACAAAAACTATTTAACGAACGGAGAAGTATGCATAATTTTTTATAATAATGTGGATATTTTGATGTAAGAAAAGTTGTAGCGCTGTTTGAAAAGAATATAACGATGTATGATTTAATGTAAATATTTTTCATATTATACGAGTTTTATCGGCTTGAAATATCGCGGGCGACGTCTAGCTTTTCACTTTCGGCCCTACGATATGGCCAACTTCTGACTTGTGCGTTAGAGATTGACGTATGTCAATTGAATTTTATCTCTTTTAATTTAAAAGATAAAAGAGGGTGGCCACTTTTGAAAGGACACCCTGTATATGTAATATCGTATACTTAATTTCAATTTTCTACAATTGTACAATAGGTATCGTATCACTGATGCGACTTCTAAATTGTGCAATGGATTCTTCGCCAATAGGTGCAGCTCCTACACCCAACATTCTTACAGATGAAATGTGACGTGGTGTAAATCGCTCGTTGTTCGCCATCATTTGTACAATCGGTGGTACAGTATATATTACTGTAAACCGATGATTTTCAAGTAATTTGATGAATTTCTCAGAAGTGAAGTGCGGCATTAACACCAGCTTAGCGCCTATTCTATATATATATAAGATATCCATATAATGTTATGTGATAAATTATAATAATTTGTTCTTTTAAATATTATCAAAAAATGTCATTCATGAAATATAATAATGAGGACAAAAAATTAAATAGTTACATATCATAGTAAATAAATTGATTATTCAGACACACAAAGTACATGACAAAGTAGTTAATATATGTTAAGATAACATACCGCAAGTAAGTATATGTAGATATTATTAATCCAGCAACATGAAATAATGGCAATATCACCGGTATAATGTCTTGATGGTGTTCAGTCGTTTCTTCTCCGGGAAAGAAGATCGGATGCGCACCTTGAGTTATATTTGCAACAATATTTCTACGACATTCATAATTATTTACATCGTAAAAAAAATATTACTCTGTATATCTCTGATAAATATTATATTGCATTTTTGTGTGTTTACGCATTTTGAATTAGATTTAAATATATAATATGCAATCAATTTGCGCACCTATGTGTTATCTCAACAACTTTTGGTAGTCCAGTCGTACCGCTGGAACAAGGCAAGATTACTGTATCATTGTAACTGACTCCAGTTTTTTGACTGATTGAAAACTCTTCGATATTATCATGCATAAGATCATCAAGTTTGATGGTTCCTGAAATCGAGGCAGCACCAGTGCCGTCGTTTACGATAACAATGGGTAGTTTTATCTTCGAATTTTTTGCAATACTCTTTTCGACAACAGTACATTTTGCCGGAAATGTGAAAACTGCTTGGGCATCCGCGGTATCCAATAGCTTTGTTATTTCATGCTCTGTGTACGTAGGGTTGATTAGGGTTGTCTTTAAAAGAAGAAAGTTTTTTGCAAGTATTATACAAATAACAAGCTTATGCATAGTAATAAATAGTTTAGAATGTGTTACGAAATATTTTATTAAATTGTACATTTTATAAGAAATGTAAATATTTAGTAAAATATATACATTTCTTATTGATCTTATTGATTGTTGGACGTTATTAATCTTTCTATTATTTTGTTCAATATTCTATTTTGTATAAAAGTCCATGGCATTTTATTAACGAATTATACATCTCTTATGCATCAATTTCTTTGATTTCTAATTCTCTTTTTCTTTTTTTATTATATACTTTGGCATTGATGAGGGACGCTGTGAAAGTTGGGGCGCTATGGAAAATAGAATTGTTTTTAACCATTTAGTCTGTATCTTATTCTGTATTCTTCTATATTTGCAATGCTTAGTATGATGATAAAAATGTAATATTATGTAAATAAATTTCTAAAGTATTTTGTATTTATATTAGTTTGTGCAGTTTAGTATGAAATTTTAAGTCAATTTACATTTTTTTGCATAAATCAACAATATAATTATTTAAATCTAATATGTAATAAAATAGATGCGGAGTATATTTTTAAAACATATTTAATAATAATATTAATAATTAATATTATTAGTCAAATAATATTATTTAATAATTTAATAATTTTTTATATAACGATTTATTATGAATATATTTTTGGCTTGTTTTTACATTTTTCAAATGTATTATGATTTACGGAATAACGCGCCTTAAGCATATTTATCTGAGCATTCACCCCGAATGAGCGTGCTCAGGACTGCCGAATAAGCAAAGATTTTAATAGTAAGCCGAGCGTATAAGCGTAATAGTGCCTAATCGCTCGATGTGATCCGCTCATTGTCGTTACATTAATGTGATCGGTTCGTGCTCAGTGTGGATAGATTTTTATTTTTAATCTTGTTTGTTTGTAATTAGCGCTACATGCAAACTGATAAATGGTTCAGTGTTCATGCGAATTCTATGTGAACAAACTTAAAAACAACATCCGAATGAACACTAATTCATCCACTCGTGCGGCGCTCATTCGAGGCAAATGCTCGGATGAATATGTAACTTTATATAATACGTGTGTAATGTGTCTAAATATAATATTTTTTTCTTACCCGTAAGCCGGCTTCATTTGCCGCTAGCAATATAATAATAAACTCTGGGATATTTGGTAAAATAATAGCGATGTGATCTCCCGGTAAAAGATTAGATTTTCTTAAACTCGTTGCTAATCTACCGCATGCTTTTCTTAATTCGGCATATGTATATGATCTACCTGTTTCCGAACACACCTGAAAATTATTTTGATATTACGATTAATGACATCAGTAGAATAAAATTAACTGTAACTGGTAATAAAAAAATTGGTAATAAATTTTTTACGTCCCGGTATTTGCGCTTTAATTAATTTCTAGTCTTATTTTTGTTAATTTTTTTATTAATTACATCATTCATTAATTACACCAAGTGTAATTTAAAAAAAAAATCTTAAAATCTTAAAAGTAATATGACATAATCATTACGTTAACTACAATTATTGATTACGAAAATTTTAAATATTACTTTTAATATATATATAAAAAAAAATATATATAAAATTCATAAAGAAGAGATAAAGCACGTACGAAGTAATAACAAATAGCAAATTTGCAAATAACAACCAGCGTTTTAAGCACGAATATGTTCTTTTCTTATATTTGTTATAAAAAATATATTTAGTTTGCAATTTTTTAATTAGGTCAAAATGTATATTTGGCTCATCTTATTGTGAAGAAAAATAAAAAAGTTATTGGATTTTTTAAAATTATTGAAAAGGTATTTTTGCCTTACTTTTGTTGGTGAAATTTTTTATACATATCACTAATATTATATTATAAAATAGTATAATATTTGTATATGCAGTGTATTTGGTAATCATTTTACGTACCAGTGCAGTGTGATTCCACCAGCGTCCAATTTTTTCCCAAATAAAGTCATGCAAGTAAACATTTTCAAAACCGGTCACATCGGATAATCCACTACTGACTATATTTTGCGAATCAATTGGTGCTTCGATCGCGGTTGCAAAATGTCGATATCGCGTAAATTTATTGCAATAAATTTTTGACGAGGCACCGACAATATATTTTCCGATATTGTAATTGAGGATGCGAGTTGTCATTGCAAAAATCGACAATCGTATTTCTCAGAACGTATTACAAAAAGAACTGAATGACTAGTCGCTGATAACTTTGCTTTTATATTACATACACTATGAAAAGTTACACGTTACACGACTAATATACTTGTATATCACGTACCATGTTTATGTATATGACACATATATAATGTATGTGACACAAAGTCCATTCTCTGTATTCGTTCAGTGGTGTATTCAGCTCCTCAAGTATTGAAATTTAAATTATGAAGAATTAATTTTTTAATTATTTTCTGTAATATGTTTATGTATGATTTTTGTATCAAGTTTGAAAAACAAGTTTGAAAACGAGTTTAAAAGAACATAACAAAAGACAAACTTAGTATTTTATTTTTGATTAACACATTGACTGCCACACTGAAAACTGATATGAGCCTTGCCGAGCTCATGTACTGTCATCCAACACGTTGCACTATCGTATGTGTACTAAATGATAACAGCGGAGTTATTATGTAATTATTTGGAATCGTCCGATCGGAAATGAGATTAAAAAATTATCATCGACAGTCAAGGTGCGAGTAATATAATTTGAATTCAAGATTATTTATTAGTGCTAGTATAGTAATACAATCAGTGATAGTATAGTGACTACAAAATAGAATTCAATTTTATAATTTAACGTTTATTCTTTAAATTTTAATTGTAATAATGGTAAGTAATGCATATTTAAATAATGAAAATATTATAAACTTTATGAAATTTTGGTTCAGTTATAGTTTCATTAAAAATAATGATAAAAACAAAACAATTACGATTACGATTACAGTTCCGATTCCGGTTCCGGTTAATTCCGGTTAATTTCGATCCGAGTCTGAGTCCGAGTCCGTTCGAGTCTCTGGTATCAGTGACTTTTGCCCGTGTAATTTTTTTATAATGTTGAAGGCCAAGAAAAAAAGAATCATCAGTGACATAATTAGCTGTAAAAGCAGCAAATAACGATAACATGTAACTGCTAAGTATTCTTGCAACTTGATAATTTAAAATAAAATTCTTCTAGAACAGCTAAATAAAATTGTCATCTACAAATTAGTGACGAGGTTTCCGCGGAAATTTACGTGTTACTCATGGATGCGGCAGTCAACATGTTAATCCTTTCATTCTCAAATTATTTAACAGCTACGAGAAAAATATTTATTTGTATTTGTGTTCATGTTACATAACAAATAAATTATTCATAAAAAATGTATAAAACTCGACATTTGCAAAAATATGGTACAATTTTTTAATTTTTGCCGACGCGGTCTTCGAAATATTTTCTAGCATTTGTACATATCTTAAGTGTTTGAAAAAAAAACTTGAAATCTGAAGACTCTAATGATAAATATCTCACAAGAAAATAAGAGGCGAAAGAGCCAATGCTGGTTGATCGTACATGTATTTGACTTTATATTATCATAACAAACGTTTCTGCTTTAAATAAGGCTTTCTTCAGCGTTACTAATTTGTTTAATTTATTCTTAATAGAATTAAAACGTACATATTATTTTTAGAAATTACAATAGTAAAAAAACACGAAAACGCATAAGTGCATTAAGTGTTTAATTTTAGCTATACGTCCGGCGACAAATTCTTTGATTTTGTTCTCACTGATGTTTTTACAATGAATGCAAAACTCCGTTCTATATATCCATTTAGTGCTGTATTCAGCTGTCTAACTATGTGATATTTAAAGTTAAATTATGAAGAATTTATTTCCAGATTATTTTTTATAATATGTTTTGCATAAAAGTTATTTTAAACGCTGCTATGTAATTTGGATGTGTTTTGTATGTTACAGATGATACTTTAATAATTAAGAAATTTAAATATTTTAATAAATTTTTTTTATTTTAAAATTAACCGTCAAAATAACCTTCGCTCTCAAAGTATCAAACTGTCAGAATAATTGTGATAACCAATCAGCGTCGCGGAAAAGCGTCAACAATACTTTCGATACATTCGAGTATCGATCTTTCATGCTTTTTTTAAGAGTGGAACTGATATACTATTTCTCAAAATGCATAAGAACAACGAACTTAAATTTATGACTTAATTTTATGACTTAAATTTATGACTTAATACATTAATACTTAAGAAAAAAAAGTAACGTGGAATTACAAATACTTTTTGAAGCAAGAAAAATACTTTGAAAACAATTTGAGCAAATATACACATCTGGAGAAATCTATTACAACTTTTTAAGCTCTTTTCGAAGAATTTTCCCGGACGGATTTTTCGGAATACTTTCCAGAATTTGTACATATCCTAAATGTTTGATTTTGGATACTCGTTCGGCGACAAATTTTTTTATTTCATCCTCATTGACTTTCTGCCCTGGCTTAGGAACAACAAAAGCTTTCGGAATTTCACCATATTTGTCGTGAGGTACACCAATAACCGCTACGTCCAATATCTTATCGCAACCGCGAATCACTTCTTCCAACTCGGTGGGTATAACTTGAAATCCTTTCACCTTTATCAT